TTGTGTTGTGGCTGGCGGTCTCCGCGCATTCCGCGCCCGCCTCCCCCAATGTTCTCCGCGGTCCATTTTTCCCAATCACCAGCGAGTGCACCCCCGCCATATCTCTTCCTGATGTTGCTGACTCGGTTGCATCTACCGCCGCAGCGTTCCGCTCCACGGCCTCTAACGAGCTGGCAATCTTTATCGCATTGGTGAAACTTAATGTGTCATCCTCCGCAAACAGCCTCTGCCGAATAACATCGCTCCTTAATCCGCAGACAAATTGATCCCGTAGACTTTCACTAAGACCGTCGCCCAGTTTGCAGTGACGTGTTAATTTTTTTAACTCTGCTACGTACTCTGCTATATTCTCATCCGCTGCTTGCCTCCTTTGTCTAAAACGATACCTTTCCGCTAACGCGGATGGTGCCGGCTGTAAGTGGTTGCGCAATAGACTAATGGCGGCGTCGTATTTTAATTCCGACGGATTCACGGGGCTAGCCAGGTTCACTAGCAACTCGTAGGCCTCATCGCCCATGACCGCTATTAGCGTGGGCAACTTGAGATCACTACTTATTTTATTTGCCGTAAAATACATCTCAAGTCTATCGACATACGACGACCACACCCCGGTTTTTACATCGAACTCGTTCACTTTTCCAATCGACATTGTCCTCGAATTAACTTGTAAACTTTTACTCACAACGATTAAAAACACAATAAAACTACGTTTTTATCCTCGTCGCCAATGTGATGTATATAAAAGCTGGAGAGAACACAAAGAACGTAACGCAATCTATAACAGTTTATTCCATACTGAATTCCATGTATTATCTTAATTTACCCGCCACCTATATATTCAGTCTTAACCTACTACCCTACATTACAATATATGTATATATATACGCATTACCATATCATATATTGTTCATAAATAGTAAGGCTTATTATGAATTTTGAGTCGTTCAATTATATTGATTCAAGTAATGATTCCTTTGTGACACCTTACTCAGAAAGCGGCAGTAGTGACGATAGTTTTCACAGTACAGATCTCACTCCTCTAAACGAAGTCATACCTTCACAATTCTCAGATGTTCTGAATGTTATTCAATGTTATTCATATTAATGCCCAAAGTATTCCGGCACATTTTCCAGACATGCTTGCATCATTTAACACTAGCTTCCTCAGCGCTATTCTTGTATCCGAAACGTGGCTCAAACCATGTTTACCTTCTACCTGCTATTCACTACCAGGATTTAATCTTATTCGAAATGACCGAGTAGGCCAGAGTGGTGGTGGGGTAGCAATTTACCTTAGATATGATATTCCTTTTAAGATTATTAAATTGTCTACTCATGCACCCTTGGCTAATGAAGCTGAACATCTCTTGTTGGAAATTATATTATCTAACACCAAAATCTTACTAGGCGTATTTTATAGCCCATCCCTCCGTGTAAATTATTTCCCTTCATTTGAGAAAACACTTGAAGATCTGACTCCTCTATACAATCATATTATTTTTATGGGCGATTTTAACACTTGTATGTTAAAGAATAACCACCGCACTAAAAAGCTGCGCTCTATTACTGACTCGTGTAATTTACATATTCTGCCACTTAATGCTAACACACCTTGCCTAACTGTATTTCATCCCTGTTAGATCTTATCATAGTTTCATCTCCTGATCACGTGTCAAAGCATGGTCAATGTGCAGCTGTGGCATTCTCTCATCATGACCTCATCTTTCTTTCATATAAAATACGTACTCCCAAATTTCGAGGCAAGGTACTGATGCTACGGAATTTTAGTGGGATGAATATAGAACGTTTACAAGACGATTCCCGGAATGCTAACTGGTCTGCTGTATACTCTGCAGATTCTATAGACTTAAAAGTGGAAACATTTAATTACATTTTGATTGACCTTTATGACACCCATGCACCAATCAGACCAGTTAAAGTTAAACACACCCCTGCGCCTTGGCTAACAGACGATATTAAATCACTGTTAAATAAGAAAAATAAAGCTAGGCTTATTTATAACAGTGATAAATCGGACCACAATAGAGACAAGTATAGGAGCATACGGAATCGCTGCAATACAATTTGTAGAGACGCACAACAACGCCATGTTCAAAGATCAGTCGAGAACGGAGACCCTGCAAAAATTTGGAAGTTTCTCAGATCTATAGGAGTTGGAAAATCTAAAGAATCTACTATTTCGAATGAAGACGATGACATTGAATCATTAAATCAACATTTCTCATCTACCTCTTCGTTTTCAAACGATAATATAAAATCATATACTTTAAACAATCTGTCCAAAGCATCAACTCCTAATTTCTCGCCGTTCACCTTCAATCAATTTTCCGACTGTGATGTTAAAAAGAGCGTTTTGTTCATATCATCAAGTGCCATCGGATGTGATGAAATTAGCCGTAAAATGATCGTCCCCCTGATTGACATTATTCTCCCTATCTTAACTCATATTTTCAATTACTCCATATCCTCTGAATCCTTTCCACGAATTTGGAAGGAAGCAAATATCATTCCTCTTCCTAAAAAGAAGAACCCCTGTTCTCCCTCAGATTATCGACCTATATCTATCCTTCCATTCCTTTCAAAAGTCCTTGAACGTTTAGTCTTTGCACAACTTAACCTCTTCCTAAATAAAAACTCCCTTCTTGACTCCTTTCAATCGGGGTTCAGACTTGGTCATAGTACGGTTACAGCGTTACTTAAAATCACAGATGATATTCGCTGGGGTATGGACCAAAAGCAGCTCACATTACCTACGCTACTGGATTTCAGTAATGCTTTTAACACCGTCGATTTTGATGTATTGCTGAGTCTGCTACGCTCTATTAACATATCTCCAGCGGCAATTGAATGGTTTCAAAGCTATTTGCGTGGCCGCCGGCAGCGGGTTATGGTAGGGGGTGCCACATCTTCGTGGTGTGAACTAACTGCTGGTGTACCACAAGGTGGCGTGTTGTCTCCTCTCCTTTTTTCGGTGTTTATTAATTCTGTTACTTCACGAATTTCTTCTCTCTACCATTTGTATGCAGATGATCTTCAAGTATACTCCCATACATCACTCCAGAACCTTCCCAATGCCATCAATGACACTAATGTGAATCTTGCTGCAATACATGATTGGAGCAGGTCGTTCGGGCTCAATTTAAATCCCAATAATACCCAAGCCATTATTGTTGGAAATAGTACTGTAATTTCCAGAATTTGTCGGGATAACCTACCTCCTATTGTTATTGATGGTGTTGTGATACCTTTTAGCAAATCTGTAAAAGACCTAGGATTACACATTGATCAAAATCTTTCTTGGTCCCTACATATTAAAGAGTCCAGTAGAAAGATGTTCGCGGCATCATCTTCCTTACGACGTTTGCGTAACTCATTACCGATTCCTACTAGAATTTTACTGGCACAGTCCTTGTTACTCCCTATCCTTGATTATGCTGATGTATGCTATTCTAATCTTACTGAGGATCAATTAAATAAACTTGAGCGTCTTCAGAATTTCGCTATTAGGTTCATATTTGGCCTCCGCAAATATGATCATGTTTCTGAGTTTCGTACTAAGCTCAAGTGGCTTCCTATCAGACTTCGTCGGAATACTCACATTCTATCTCAACTGTACTGTGTACTATTTGATCCTAAAACACCGAAGTATTTAAAGGAAAAATTTGAGTTTGCGGGTGCAGATAAAGATCATTCCAGATTATCCGATAAGCTTATTTTGCGAATGCCTGCTCACAATTCAAAATTTTTTAATTCTTCCTTTTGTGTCAAAGCAATTAAATTATGGAACTCGCTTCCTTTAACAATTAAGAAAGCCCAAAACATTGAGTCTTTCAAAAAACTGGTTAAAAATTATTATTTAAATATGTGTTCTACTTAATATATTTCATTATCATATCTACTATACTTGATAAGGTTTGTGTATATATGGTATGTATATAATGTGTAGCTATGTGTTACAAAAATATTTATAAATATGTATATGTATAAATATGTATGTGTATGGATATGTGTATATGTGTATGATTATGATATATATATATATATATATATATATATATATATATATATATATATATATATATATATATATATATATATATATATATATATATTATGTGTTATGCATGATTTTTAACTACTATTTATGCACACTTCTATATTTTTGTATGTAAAAGATCTCCTTCACCAAGGTTTGCCTGGAAGAGATCGCTGTTTAGCGATAAGGCCACCTAATTGTACATAAATTTATCAATTTAAGTTTGTTGTTCTTTTTATTATTGTGTGTGCAAGAAAGAGTATTGTATTGTATGTTTACCAAACCGACCTCACTTCATTGTTGACAGCGTTCTGTCTTGAGTTTTTATTACGTCTGAGGTGTGGAGGTAACGTTTTTACAATTTAAAAAAAGTCTCGCTCACACAGCGGTGACGTGTGCGCGCATCCTTTATAAGCAATAGCAGTTAATAAGTTGAAGTGTTGTTATTTCAATATAACAAAGTGAAATACTAGCATTTTTTCAAAATAAGCATGATGTGATGAATAACGAGTCTGTGATTCGGGTGTGCCTGTCTGCCTTTTCAGAACCAGATATCGAATAGGCGAAAACTTTACTTTTTGAATCTGTGATGACTTCTCAGAAGAATAATTCATGGAGGCGAGATGCCAAAAAAACAAAGAGATTTAGAGGATATTATCTGTCTCTTTAAGGAAATCAAATCGGATGTGATTCTCACCTTCGTCGCTCGGGACCTGCAAAAATTGCCTTGGATATCGTTTGATCACGTTGATGCTACGATGTTACTGAAGAGCATTATGCCACTTTGTAATAAGATAAAAACAATCTAGGAAAACTACGTAACCGCAGACATGATAGAAACAGTACGTATTGACCTGGACAATTCGAAACTAACTACCTTGGTTAATTACCCAAATATTAACATGGAAAAATATGGTGTATTTTTCTGATTGTGGGCTGTTAGGTGTATCACATAATTTATCAAATACCGATACTATGATAAAAATCCTTGGAACGGAATGCGCTACTGCCGTCGCCGTCGTCTCAATAGCGCATCGAGATCGACTGTGGCTTAGCCGGCAGCTGCATCGCAAAGAGAACAAAGTTTTGTCCCCATATTCAGACACTACTGCATGTAAACATGCGCCATGTAAGTACGTCGGAACTAACAACGGCGTAAATAGTTAAGTTGCCTGGTGAATAAAAAAAACAACAAATTAACAGAGTAGTGGGCTGTGTTGCAACATGGACGATATAAGAATTAATTTATTGGGAAAATGGCGAAGGCAATAACTAACGACGATTTGTGAACTTGTCGGAATTTACTCAGTGTTTGGTTAATTTGAATGAAATCATACAAGACAATATTAATAGTATTGAAGTCGCATTTATACTAAGAAATTTTAATGCACATCCTCTTGCTCCATTTTGTAGTGAATTGCTTGATTTTTGTGAAGAAAATGATTATATATGTGCCGATCTGTTCAAATTAGATATGTCATATGAAACTTATACAAAGTGAAGCATATGGGTGTAAATGACGGCTAGAACACTGTGTGGTAACCAAGTCAGGTAATGAGAGTCTGTCGTAAATATTAGGGTTCTCAGTGTTGTACATTGGACAGATTACTTTCCTTTACATCTAACTTGTAACTTAAAAGTAATTAAAGATAGAGTAGAAGTTAACAATAATTATCAACGTAATAATATTCTATGGGGGTAAGACAATTAAAATAAATTGAGAAATATGAAATTTGTAATGATAGCTTTAGAAAAATAATGTTTCCAGATAAACTTCATGAATGTGCTGACAATATGTGTCAAAACTTAAAACACAGATCTTTAATTGAAAACTTATATAACAATAATTTTAAAATATTAAATTCTGCTTCAGCAAACGGTCACAGTCTCTTAGTTATGACGCCGGCTAATGTTAAGTGTGTACACGGTTGGAACAAACATGTCAGGCCCACATACAGGTTAGACTAGATTATAAACTGTATATTTTAGGTAGAAAACCATTTAGTTTTTTTAAAAAAAATGTGTGAGAGTAGGCGAGTTTTAAATTCACGCTTAAAGTACAGTCAGAACAACCAGAAACAAATAAAAATGGATATACTTTCTTCACAACTAAAAAGTCAGTGATTTTAAAATGATTGCTGATTCATTTAGTAATCACTTTCAAGTGAGATATTTGGATACGTTGATGGGGTCAGTGATTTTAAAATGATCGCTGATTCATTTAGGAATCACTTTCAGGTGAGACTTTCCTTGCAGTCAATGTTTGATACTGAGCATTCCCAAGGAGAAAAGCCTATTGGTTTTAATGTAAAGATGTAGCTGACATTATTAAAAATATGAAAAGAAGGAAGTTGACAGGTCATGAGTGACACCATGTCGAGTACTTGCAGCGTTAGCCACGTTTTCGACATTCATATTTACCATCTAATCTTATGAGATCAGTGGTAGTGCTAACAGTAAAAAAGTTACTACTGATATCACTGATAAAAGTAACTATAGGCTGATTTCTTTAGCTACTATAATCACAAAAGTGTTTGATGGCTTATAAGATTGAAAATGATCACGTTTTGTAAAATAAGAGATAACAGATCTGTTACAGAGAGGGATTGTCAACTGAAAGTGCAAGTGCAATACAATCTCTGAAGCACACTGTTGAATATTGTGTGTAAAGGCAAACTCTAGTACTCGTATATGCATGCTTCTAGGATTTGTACAAAGCTTTTGATCTGGAGTCATATAATGAGATTTGGAGAAAATTAATAATTGCAGGAGTCCCGGCTGACCCTGTGAATATTCTCGCCTACTAGTACAGTAAACAGGTTAATATACTATGGTGGGGAAATGAATAACC